TCACTCTGCTCAAAAATGGTAACAGCGAGACCGACCTATAGTTATTCATATCCAGGGTGTCCAGGGAGGGCTTTTTCAGGAGTGGCCTAACCACCGCTTCTTTTAAACAGGATGGATGCGTTGATGATGTCTTTAAGGAACATCCTCAGCGCATCCCCACCCTGGACAGCCAGCCATGAAGGATAAGGATTAAGAGGGCAAGTAGTTTTCCTCACTCTGCCAAGTAGCTTTTCCACGTCATTGGTACTCACAGACTGGAAGTGATCCAGTAAAATCTCAGTAACAGAGTTGCTCGACACCTTGTCTATAGATTCTGTATCAATACTGGCAAACACAACAAGAACTTCTGAACAGGCGCAACCAATTTTTCCAAATAGGCTGGACACTTCTGCTGTTTTTGTTCTTGAATTCATCCAGTTTTTTATGTGGTTTCTAATGAAGCTACTTGCAATTCACTACTCCTAGAGTTCTCTATATTTGCTATAAACCTGAAATTCTGTACATATACAAAATATGAACATTTCAGTACCTGTTTTGGGACAATGAACAAATTGAAAGAGAACAAAGAACCATCCTTTTTAAATTTTGAATTCTAAGCAGGAAGTCCTTTTTTGACACTATCCCAATTGTCCTTTCCAGATAAAAGTTTTCATATGGTATACAGACTAATTGAATACTCTTTAAAAGCACTTTGATGAGATTACAGTTCTAAGTACTGTACTCCTGAAAATGAGTAATTTAAGAACATCCTCTGAGTATCACTGCTTCACTGTATTACTTTTTAAAAAAACAAAATACAACAGGGATGTGGGAAAAAAACAAGGCAAAGTTAGAGAAAGTAAAGAAACGCCAAATGCTTACCTGGTTCTAATTTTATTACTTTAATCGCTGCCAGTTCACTTGTGTTAACATTCCGAGCCTATTTTAAAAGCAAGAAAGAAAGAAACAAAAGGATTTTAGATGTAGGAAAACAAACCCTGCTTTTGAAGAAGTTCAATGACAAGAAACAGACAACTCATATTTAAGCTCAGCCACAGACTCCTGGTGGATGGAAAGGCAGAAATTAAAAATTAAAACAGTTGCCAGGTAATCTTCTCTCCTGTTTAAATATAAGTGGAAAGCTATCGAGCTACTTTTCTGATGATAAAAGAAAGGTAACAAGCCACCAGAACTCTGGAGAAATAATAACCATAAATATTAATGTGTCACAATGATCTATACCATAGGAGTGGAACCACTGGCATGATAAAGTAAAATCTACTTCAGTTTATGATAAAGTCACTGGGTTGTATCCAATGGGAGTCTTGCACTAGCATAAAGCCTTCCTGTTTGTTCAATGGAGGGCATTCCCACTACTCACTGCCACCTATCACGTCTCCTATGATGTTGTTCCCAAGGGGTCTGGGACCCTCTGGCGCAGTAATAACTTGTTGTATGCCGCCCCGATTGCTGTGCAGAGGGGTGGGTTATAAATAAAAATTTAATTAATAATAATTATTATTATAATAAATACAGCACACAGGGCTGCAGTAGGCACTGACATGGTCGACAGATGCTCCCAGACTACCAAATGAAGCAATTTTAATGAAATTTCATAACTGGATGCAACCCAGTGGTCAAGGTGCCTCGCTGTGCATTTATTTATTTAATTTATATGCCGTCTATCTCTTGGAAAAGGACCCAAGGCAGCTCCCAGATAAAATCAGTTAAAAACTTTACAATAAAAATACAAAAACAATTAAAATCATCTTCCTAAAACAATATAAAGTTGCATTTAACATATAAAAGTTAAAAACATAAACAGAACACACACTGTATAAAAGTCCCTCTGATAATGATTATTAAAAGTCCACTTAAATAAAAACATCTTTGTCTGTCAACAAAAGGAAAGCAGGGAGAGGGCTAGACTGGTCTTCTGAGGAAGGGCATTCCAGAAGGTGGGAGAAGCCACCAAGAAGGCTTTCTCTTGTGTCTTCTCTAAGTGAGCCTGTGATGGTGGCAAGACCAAGAGAAAGCCCTCCCCTGTTGATCATAGGGACGCTTGCAGGTTTATATGGGGAGATACGATCTTTCAGTCTGGAACCAAGATGTGTAGGGCTTTCTAAGTCATGACTAGCACTTTGAATTGTGCCTGGAAACGAACCAGAAGCCAGTGAAGCTGTTCCAACAAAGGAGTATATTTCCCTCTAACTGACCCTGGTTAGCATTCTGGACCTGCTGAGGCTTCCAAACAGTTTCCAAAGGCAGCCCCACATAAAGTGTGTTACAGCAGTCCAAATGGGATTTAATCAAGGCATGTGTCACCATGGCCAAATTTGACTTATGGTGACCCTAAGGCAAAGCTATCCTGGGGTTTTCTTGGCAAGATTTTCTTCAGAGGGAGTTTACCTTTGCCTTCATCTCAGGCTAAAAGAGTGTGCCTTGCCCAAGGACATGCAGTGGGCTTCCATGGCAGAGCAGGCATTTGAATCCTGATCTCTAGAGATGTAGCCCAACACTCAAACCACTACACCACGCTGACAAGTTCATTAAAATAGGCTTGTATTTAGTTCCAGCCATCAAAGTGTTAGCATAATCGTCTGCAATCTTGAACATACCTACTGGGTAATAAATTACTTTGAATTTAGTAGGATTTATTTCTGAGCAAACATGTTGAAGATTGCAAAGGTTCTAAAAGTCCTTAAAAATGAAGAGTTAATAAGTGCTTTAAAATTATAAAGAGAGAGCTGTGTGTGCATTTCAGGTGCTTAAATCTATATATGGACTGTACTAATTTAGACCACTGTTGAATATTATACAAATGAATGTTTCTCCATACAAAGCAAAAATATAAAAAGCCAGCCAGCACATTAAAATATGTCTGGGGAAATAATTATAAGCCCAATTTACATTTTCTGTGTGCAAAGAGCTTTCGTTTAGTTTGAATTTTTTGAGGGGCTTCTTGCACCTGCAGTCCATAGTATGTCGCCTAGGAACAGTTTTATATTTTCAATCTGAAGTAGGCTCAGGGCTGGCTTCTAGCCATAAAAATGTGAGGTATGCACAACTTTTTATTAACCAGATTCTTATCACCATGCAAACAGTAATAAATACAATATGGCACTTAAAGGAAAACACATGGTAAATTACTATTTGGGTGATCCAAAGTGCATTTCTTCTATGGAGGCATTTGCTGAATTCCCCTGCATGTCCACACAAAGTTCTGGTCAAAGAAGGCAACTGCAGGAAAATCAACCAACCTTACCAGAGCCACAAACAAAACAAAAAACACACACAAAAGAACAATACAGAGGTAGATAAGTGATGATCCCACTTGCTCTAAAATGATTTGAAAAGAAGAACTTCCTGATAGGAAGAGCTGTTTGACAGTGGAATATACTGACTCAAGTGTATTCTTTGGAGGTTTTTAAACAGATGTTGGATGACCATCTGCTGGGAGTGCTTTGATGGTATCTTCCTGCATGGCACAAGGTTGGATTGGATGGCTCTTGTGATCTCTTCCAACTTTATGATTATATAATTCAGACCTTTTTAGTTTGAGCAATAAAAGGACACCATCTGCAATCTCATTTGCCACTGTCAGTGTTTTATCAGGCTTCTAGACCCTGGAGCTCAAATGTCTCAGAAGAGGGTAGATATAAAAAGTTAAGAGGTACAAAACAGAAAGGGAGTGGGGAGTGGAAGAGGACCTGTTATTTTCCAAGGGTTCCCCACTGTATTTGAAAAGTGTTGAATTTTGAAATATTTTATTTTAGAATTTTGAATATAGACAGCCCTCCACATTTGTGGCTTTGACTTTTGCAGATTTGCTTATTTATGGTTTTGATTACCATCAGAGAAGGAGCCAGAGGCAGAGCTTCTGAGCACCAACTTCCCTTCTTAACACCATCAGAGGAGGAGTGCACTGCTCTATTTTATTTTGAAGAAGAAATTTAAAATGTACACTCTTGCATATTCAACACAAGACGAAAAGTGAGATTATATAAAACAGATCACTTGTTATTTTAATGTTGTAAGCCACTCCGATTGCTCTGC